GATAAATGGTTGTTGTGGGCACCTTGCCTACGAGGCTGGTTTTCTCAGCAAGCCCCGTGCAGGCCACTTGCCGGGCTTATCCAACTATGGACAATTGCCTTTGCCTCACATGCTGAGAGTCCATTCAGTTGTGGCAGGTGAAGTATAGAGTTTTCCCTCAGACGCTCCATGGCAGCCCTCACAGAAACAAATGGCAGGTGCCACCTTCTCAGGAGGCCCAGCAAAGCTACTTGCCCTCTCCCATCGAGGCCACAATGCACAAAGGGCTTTCCTACTACATGCTCTCGAGGCTAAATACTGTTCTCTTTTTCTTCAGATTCACACTGAAACCCCTTCTATAAGGGTCCTCAGCCTAGCCAGATATTTGAAACAGGGTTCAAACCTGGCTTTTCTATTATCCCATTGGCCATTGTTTAATCAGAGCTGACAGCACCGCCTGTCAGAAAGACTTTAGGGTTATAGTTAGGTGGAAAACTGAAGAGAATGAGACAGAAATGGATTTTGAACCCCAGGAGACAAAGAGGACTCTGCTACAATCACTTCAAGTACACTTTTCTGCTGACGCGGTGACCCTCATTCTGAGCTTCCAACACAGGCAGACCCAGGACAGGAATCTCTTTAGCAGGAGGTGAAAGACATAAAGACCAAAAGGCTTTTAGTGTAGCCTGAGGTTTTCACAGCTGGCCATTTAAATGAAGAAGAGCCTGATGACTTGTCACTGAAATAGCGAGTCAAAGAACAATTTTTGTAGGAACCTAGTGACAAAAAGATTCTAAAGAGCATACCAGACACTGTGGCAGGTAAAGAGTAGGCATTCAGCTACTGCTCCAGGCGGTGGGCTCCCTTATCCCCACAAAGCTCCCAAGAAACCTCTAGGTGGGGTTCACCAAGAGCCAAAAGAGAAACCCCAACCTTGGAATTCCAGCTGCTCCTTGGAGCAGGCAGCTGACCTGACTGACGTCATGGGAGTAGACTTTGTGCAACAACATGGTACAATCCAAAGGGGGCTTGGATTTGGGTATTTGGGGACCAGTAAGTGCACTCCAGATTTAGACATGAGCCCATTCTGGTAGGACTGTTTCCTAGAAGGAAGACTGATGTTCTGGGTGACCGCCCTTCTGTGACACCTCCAAATAGCCTCATGGATTGACTCCACTGGACCACTGTAGCCACAGTCCTTTCCTCTGTCCTTCCTGTGCCTCCAGGGCCTGCTTCTGTCTCCTTCCCTCTCTCATCCTGTTTGCTCCTTGTTAATATTCCCAGTCAGCTGGTACACTGGTCTCTCGGGCTGGCACGATTCAACAACCCATCTCTGGTTCATGTGACAGATGCTGTGTGTCAGTCCCAGAGCACCAGGAATGCCCCAGAGGGATAGAGGGCACAGACAGGATTATTCCCAGCACTGACATGCCAGGCACAGTGCTCAGCACTAAATAAACTTAGGGAAAAGCTCACAGAGCAGCCATATGCACAGGACATTTCAGCCTCCAGGCTAGAATAATTACACACTGAGTTTTTAGTTTAGTTTAAATTTAGAATTTAGAGAGGAGTTAATTCTCAATTTATGAATGTCTATTTTCAGTACTGACGGTGGACTTAGGAGTGTGTGTGTGTGTGTGTGTGTGTGCATCTGTATGCACTTAATGCTTTAGAGGTCTAGGAGACCTGTCGGGACTCTAAAATAGTTTCACCTAAACTTCAAATATATATTTGGTTTTGCAATTAGAGATTCATTGCTTATGTTAAAAATTTTAAATTGCACGGGTTAGAAATAAAAGGAGGGGCTATTGGGTGGAGCACAGGAAGAGCTCTCTCCTATTAAAATGAAAATACCCCTGTCTGTTCAATCAGACATTTATTTTCCTCTCAAAATAAGACCCCCTATTAATCTTTTACTGAGATTTGGCTTCGACTGTAATATCAATTGTCTAGCCTGCTCATTTCACAGGTGAGGATGAGTTCCATGAAGGGGGAGTGACCAGTCTGTGATCAGCAGGTTTAGGAGGAAATCACATCTCCTAAAACCAATAGCAGGCATTTTCAATCACAGCACATTCACTGCATCTTAAGCGTTAGCATTCAACCTTCCTCCCAGAATACAGTGCCAAATTAATTTGGTTATACTACTCTAACTCCCCAATTCTAAGAAATGGCTTCTTTAAACGCAGAGTCAGGATAATTGATGGTTGGCCCTAGAGTTCCCACCTGAGTTTAAGGGGCTGGCATGTGGCATCCACCTGAGCGGAAACATCCTGCATAAAGTGAAGCATGGGAGCCTGGAACACAAACTTCACAAAGCAACAACATTACAACTTAAGACAGTAATGTCAGGTACTGAATAAAATCACTGTGATGTGGAGGGTACAGAGAGAGCTCATGATCTCCACCATGTTGGTCACCAAACAAGAGTCATCTGCACTTCTGCACTTCTAGTTTTGGTATTTTCCAGGACCTAGGAGAAACTTTTGAGGTCATTTTGTTTTATTTTATCTCAGTAGAATTTGTATGAACAAGATTTGCTCTCACTTTTTTTTCTTCTCTGATACATAGAAAAGTGAGGATAGCACTGACATGTAAGCTCTGTAAGTAAGAGACAATGCCTGCCTTATTCTTTATTTTATTCCTGTCACATCATACAGAGCCTGACATATACTATGCCTTTAGTAAATGTTTATTTATTGAACGAAGGACTGAATGGAAATTATGGGTAAATAAAATGTATTTATAGATGTTCTACTTGGTATCAAAGATTCTATTGTGGGACTTGGGTATGTTATGGGCTTTGATAGCTTAATCAAAACATACCATAGAAATGATACAATTTGGGCTAGTTATTCCTGGAAATAGATTGCTCAGGTAGGAATGTTATCAAAATCTGATAGATCAAGAATACAAAGACTTTAAGCTGTTGAGTGGAGCAATGATTCCTATTGGGTAGAATATTCCATGGATAGCAACTATAAACACTGGTCAAGAAAAGAAATCGAAGAAAACACAAATAAATGGAAATACATTTTTTTTGTTCATGGATTGGGAGAATTAATATTGTTAAAAATGCCCACACACTATCCAAAGCAATATATAGATTCAATGCAAAAGCTCAGGAGAGAAAAGGACATTTATTAAGAAACAAATGGAAATTCTATGTCTAAAAAATTCAAATTTTCAATGGCATTTTTCACAGAAGTAGAACAAGCAATCCTAAAGTTTGTATAGACCACAAAAGACTCTGAATAAACAAAGCAATCTTGAGAATGAAGAACAAAGCTGGAGGCATCACAGTCACTGATTTCAAACTCTATTACAAAGCTGCAGTAATTAAAACAGTGTGATAATGGCATAAAAATAGACACATAGATAAATAGAATAGAATAGAAAGCCCAGATATATATCCACACATACATAGTGAATTAACTTATGAAAACCAAGAATGTACAATGGGAAAAGGATAGTGTCTTCAGTAATTGGTGTTGGAAAAACTGAACAGCTCTATGCAAAACAATGAAACTGGGCCATTATCTGACATCACACACAAAACTAAATTAAAAATGGATTAAAGACTTGAAGACTTGGAACCACAAAACTTCTAGAAGAAAACATGGGAAGTAAACTCCTAGACATTGGTCTTGACAATGATTTCTTGGATTTGACACCAAAGCAAAGGTAATAAAAGCAAAAATATAAAGGGACTACATCAAACTAAAAAGTTTCTGTACAGCAAAGGAAACCACCAAAATGAAAAGGTAACTATATTAAAACAAATACATTGGAATGGACAAATGCATTTGAAAATCAGATGTCTCATAAGGGGTTAATATCCAAAATATATGATGAGCTTGTGCAACTCAATAAAACAAACTAAAAGTGGACAAACGATCTGAATAGACATTTTTTTAAAGAAGACATACAAATAGCAAACAAATACATGAAAAGGTGCTCAACATCACTTATCATCAGGTAGCTATAAATCAAAACCACAATGAGATATCACCACACACCTGTTAGAATGGCTGTTGTTTAAAAAAACCAAAAAGAACAAGAAATAAGTTTTGGCAAGGATGTAGGGTAAAGGGAACCCCTGTGCACTGCTGATGAGAATTTAATTTGGTGTAGCCACTATGGAAAAATAGTAAGGAGTTCCTCAAATATTAAAAATAGAACCGCCATACAATCCAGAAATTCCACTTCTGGGTATTTTTCCAAGGAAAATGAAAGCACAAAAGATATATGCACCCTTATGTTCACTGCAGCATTATTTACAATAGCCAGTATTAGTTAGTTACTTACAATGGAAACAACCTAAATGTCTACTGATGGATCAATGGATAAAGAAAATATGAGACAGATAGATTTAGATAGATGATAGATAAATGACTGATAGATTGATAAAGATAGGTATCATTAAAAAGAAGGAAATTCTGCCATTTGCAACAACATGAATGGACCTTGAGGGCATTATGCTAAGTGAAATAAGTCAGAAACAGAAAGACAAAATACTGTACAATCTTACTTAAGTGTGGAATATTTTTTATAAATTCAGAGATACAGAGAACAGATAGGTAGTTGTCAGAGGCAGAGGATGCCCCAGGATGGGCAAAACGGGTGAAGGTGGTCAAAAGGTACCATCCACCAGTTGTAAGTTAAATAAGATCTAGGGGATCTAATGAACAGCATGGTGTCTACAGCTAATCAATACTACCTCATATATTTGAAAGTTGTTAAGAGAGTAAATCTTAAAAGGTCTTATCCCAAGGAGAAAAAAATGTACAATTAGGTAAGGCGATGGATGTTAACTAAACTTATTCTGGTAAACATTTTGCAATATACACATACATTAAATCATCATGTTGTACACCTTTGTGACATAGACTTTCATGAGCTAAGGAGCCAACTGCATCATCTATTTGCCCTGCAGAGTCATCACACTCCCTCCAAATCCATACAGAAGTCCATATGGAAAAAAAACCCTTGTTAAAAATTTCTTTTTTTTTTTTAATTACCTGAAGGCACTCAAGAGAAACCCAAAGCAGGCAGAAGTGCTGGGGTGTCCACACTTGGAAAAAGGGAAGACAGTTTCTGGGTTCAGGCTAGTCAGGTCAACCACCTGCTAAAATAAAAATACAATACTTTTCAAAGGAACATGCTATAATTCAGTCCCTAGAACAAAACAATCACAATGTCCAGAATAGGATCCAAAATCAGGCATTTGAAGAAACCCAAGAGTTTCAATGAAGACTGTCTCAAGATGACCCAGAGGTTATAATTAGCAGGTAAGGATCTTTATGCTCTGCTGTAGGACATACAGGAAATCAAACTTGTAGTGATTGAATAACTTGGGGAGCTCATCAGAGAAACAGATATTTTTTAAGAATCAAGTGGAAATTCTAGATCTAAAAAACAGAATATCTAAACAAAAGTTTATTAGATGGGCATAAAAATTTACTAGGTGGAATAGTGGAGATGACAAAGGAAAGACTCAGTGAATTTGATCATCAATGGAAATTAACCACTCTGAAGTACAAAGAGCATAAAAATGGAAGTAAAATGAACAAAGCCTCAGTGACAAAATTAGAGGATCTACAATCCATACAATTAGAGTAATGAGAGTCTTAGTAGGAAAAGAGAGAGGGAATGGCATAGAATGTCTGAAAAAATAATGGCCAAAATTTCCCAAATTTGGTGAAAGACATAAATTTACATATTCAAGAAGCTCAAGAGCACAGGGAAGGCTGTACAACACAGAGCAGACAAGTAGTGATTCTACAGCATCTTACTACACTGATGGACAGTGACTGTAATGGGGTATGTGGGGAGGACTTGATAATGGGGGGAGTCTAGTAACCATAATGTTGCTCATGTAACTATAGATTAACGATATCAAAAAAAAAAATTTAAAAAAAGAAGCTCAAGAGTCCAATCCTTTAGAGTGACAAAGTATATACCATTTATATCCAAGCACTTATCAATACTTCTTTCTTGCTTTGTGTGTCATTCTAACAGACAATTCTATGACTGTTTAGATGTTTTAGATTAATTAGATTTTACTTCTAATTATATTTGAGATTATCATGAAACCATCTTTCTCTCACATCCTCATCCTTCTTGTTCTCACAGAATATGATCAGAACACAGTCCTTTTAGGGCTTAGCTGTTCCTAAACTATTTTAATTCAACATATAAGGATGTTTTTAACTCTAAGACAAACATCTGAATTTGAAATATTCCTGAACTCAAACACATGGCATTGATTTGTAAGCAAGGAAAGCTTGAATTTTATATGGTATCAAAGAAAACTCATCTTTCATTGTCTTTAGCTTTCAGTTTATCCCACAAGATAATAAAAAGAATAAGCTCTGAAACGTCAGTGACTTCTTCCTTCCAAAAGAAAGATCCTAATTTTGCAACAGCTAATGCTCGATCGTTTAATTTTTCAAGGTCTGTTTCCCCATGCCCTGACATAACAAGACAGAATGGTCTCCACGTCTCAGCATTGCCCTTCCCACTTTGCTGGGAGCGTATGTCTTCTGAATGAGCACTTGATACCCAGGGCATGCTCAGGTCACCTAGAGATTGTAAAACTGCAAAATTACAAAAGTTCTTCAGGCACTATTACTTGGAAAAGGCATGTTTAGCTACTGAGCAAACAAAGACCAGTACACAGCTCTCCAGACATTTGTCCAGGACAAAGAGGCTACGAGTCTTGCTGAAGGGCTTTCTCAGTTGCTTGATCCTTTCCGACAGCCAGGAATTGACCTTTCAGCTTAGGCCAAAGAGATATATTTGTGTGGCCGACAACGCAGCCAAATGGAGTGTGCTCAGCCTCCTGGAAAGCAGTCTACGCTGACAGGCTAAGTTAAACCCTTGCTGCCGACGTCAATCCAACTTCTGTAGGCTCCATACAGAAAATGTGAAAATGAGTCTCTACCCCCTGCTATATATCTGTTTTATCATTATCATCATTATTTGGAAGAATTTAACAAATGTGCTGTGTTCTGCAAAAAGGTACAAGCTGCTGAATGTTCTGCATGAGATGGACAGTTAGTCATTCAGCACCATCAATTTTTCTCATTGACTTTGGCAGAAAGGTCCATTTCAGCAGAGAAGACTCAGCACAGCAGCTGAGACATGTGATCTTTACTCAGCGTCACTACGAGTGCCAACTCGTAGTAAATTAGGCGCCTAACTTATTAATAGTGAAGAATCCATTAGAGTTGACAGGCGCCTGGCTGTGCTGCCTGGAATTAACTATGAGTGGTAGGAGTGCTATCGGAGACCAAACACAAAGCCAGATAATCCGTGGAGCTGCCACCTCTCCCTGGGATTTCACAAAATAGAGAGTTTAGGGATCAGACAAAGATGCACACAGTGTTTGAGATCAAGGATCTGGGCTAAAATTAGAAATATTTATGGCTTGGCACAAAACCTTAAATTGCTGTAAAATGAGACATTAAAACAGAACTCTCCACAGCTTGGCATAATTGGACTTTCCTTCCTTGTTTGAAACACTTTTTCCTTAATAGCACATAGCATTCAATAAGAAATGCGGAATCCCACCCCTGGGTTGGTCCGCCCATTGGCACCATGCCCACCTGCTTTGAAATCTAGTTTATAGAAATTTCCACACAAACACCTGAAGGATTTTGAAAGGCCATTAATGTGTTTCCACCCATATGCATACACTTAAAGAAAAAGACAATGCCTGTCACTTTAACAGGGCCCAAGTGTGCCTTGAGAGGGGGCATGAACCGGGTCCATGCAGATGTGTACAAGTAGGTATTTGAGCAGAGGCTCCAAGTGAACTTCTGTTTGATAAACACAAAGCAGCTCAGAACCTGGTTGAGCTAGGCACGAGGGTTCTGTCCTGCAATGTGGTATTTTGTGATTATCTTAAATAATATGGCTTGCTTTATATACAGTGAATGGAATTTTTAAAAATAGCCTACTACTTTGTAAAATTAAGTTGATTATAAAAATCCCTCAGAATGACATCACCCAACTGTAGCATCAACAGTTCAAGCGACGCCCGAATGGTCTATTTGAAATCCTAGTGTCACTCATTCTTGGTATGTTCTGAAACTTGAGATTATAGAATTTGTAACACAGGAGAGTAATTCATTGTCAATGATCTGAAACTAGAAATTTAGTAAGTGTTACATTGTAGGAGTATGTGCGTACTTCAGCTTTATTATTCCAGTGTGGTATTTTAGCCTAGTCCTGTTAGACACTGAAAATATGCAGAAAAGCAGGAAGTAAAGGATAAAGTGACTTCTTTAAGATGTATGGACTCCATACATTCCTAGACTTGAAAAAAGTATTCTTGTTATTTGAAGGAGTTAGAAATAACCCAAGTTAGAAAAGGGCTATTTGTAATCAGGAAAGATGTTTTTCAAAGCACTAAACACCTCAGTAGCCATTGCACTCTGTTATACCATAAAATCCAACATGCTAACAAACCTCAACTTTTTTAAACCATAGATAAGGTGATGAACTGGACACCAAAATTTCATCAGGTGTCTTCTACTGCTTAAATATACACCTCATCTTGTGGCTAAACTAAGTGATTTCCTCTGCTAGGTGGTCTCATCATGTTCCCAATTCCCCCATCTTTATACACAGCACCCATTCATTATTATGTGTTGAATACAAGTCTTCCATTCCTAGAGCTTCACTGGGGTGAGGACTATATCTGTTTTGCTCACTATCACATTCTACCTTGTGCCATACATATTTGTTGAAAGAACAAATGACGTTTCTTAAAGACAGAATGCCAATAGAATGTTTTTCCTTAACCCAATTGCTTTCATCAATTTCACTTATATTAATAAACACTTAATAGCTGATGTTTCAATTTGGACTAGTGAGTTGCTAAGATTGTGAGTGTGCCTTATTTCTCTTTTCTAATTTAGTTTCTGGTTTTCCTACCCTAACACCAGTCTACTCTAAATTATACGGCTTCTAGTAAGAACAAAATCTTCTTAGGACTGATAAGGATCAAATTGAGTTTTGATGTGTAATACAGTCAGCCTAGGTACTAAAATTTGAAAATGGCACAAACTATGGAATTGATGAATGTGAATTGTGCTAAGCTTTGAGTTCTGATCATTTGTAATGAATTATTTTCCTTCCTTGACAAATTCACATGACTATCTCATTACTGACATATAAATGAGCCAAAGATGGCCTTGTGCATTGGCCCTTGGATTATTCCTTCACTGCAAACTGAGACCCATTAACTCAAAAGCCTACTGGAACCAAGGTCAAATTTTTACACATCCAATTGTTTTAAAAATAGCCCAAACAACCGGTTTTTGATCTTTCAGAATCTGTCTGCTTTGCATCCCCATGAAGTATCACCTGACAGTTGTTATCCATTGACAAGACAGGGCCTTGTAGTTATAAGGCCCCAACCTCTGCTGCTCTCACCTCCTCTGATCCATAGACTTCCTGCCATGCTCTGAGTGAGACCACTTAGACGTGTAAAACTCCTCTCTGATTACCAGGAATTCACTTGATTTCTTCCCCTACTGGATGGTGACCCCCTCACTGTGAGCGTCTGGAGGGTCTTCTGCTGTAAGGGACTCCCCCTCTCACACAACCCTGTCCAAACACTGTCCAATAAAATATTTTGTGTGTTACTGCCTCGCATGAGCATATCTTTTACCTTGATCAACCCCAAATCTTTTAAACCCCCATACAACATATAATTAGAAAGGGGTTGACCCTTGAGAACATATTGATAGAAATTCATATCCAGGGAACTTCTTTACTACAAGCACTCCATTAACCATGAAAAGAACATATTTCACCATAATTTCAAAGGCAGAACTCTTAAACTAGAGAGACCCATGGATATACTTTCAAAGGTCTAAGCTATCACTCTCCTCACCAAAACTATATACCAACTGCTATATGTGTATAATTTTTATGGAGAGAGTCTCCAGCCATCATTTGAGTCCTCAAGAGATTAAAAAACCTTAAAATTTAAGAACCACTAATTTTCAGTCTCCAGGAGGCTGCAGTTTTCCCCTTCATTTTGCATGAATACATCATGTCACACTTCAGGTTGGGCTTGGCTCAGTTGGATGGAGCACAGAGTGGGAAAGAAAT